TCAAGGAAGTGGAGACGCAGCTTGGTGGACACAAAAATAAGAAGAGGAACAGACGTTGGTTCAGACCACTATCTCGTACAAGAAACAGTCCAAATCAAATTAAAAGCTTTCAAAGAAACAGGAGCTGCAGATAGATCACAAGTCAAGTTCAATACTCAAAACTGAAAGGTCGGGATACAAAGGATATCTTCACTGCAATCTTAAGGAAAAGGTGGATACACAAATCAACACTAGGGAAGAGACCAGCGTTGAAAAGCACTTGGACAACCTGAAAGCGGTCTGCAGTCAAACCTGCATGAAAGTTCTAGGCAGAAAGAAGAGCCACGACAAACAGTGGCTCACTATGGACACATGGAGACTAATAGAAGAGAGAAGGATGGGGAAACAAAAGATTATTCAGTACATCGACGAGCAACAAAAACAGGGGGTTGAATGCAAACTACAATACAGTGAACAAAAGAGTAAAGTGCCAGGAAGCTGAAAGAAAATATGAAACTATGGCAAGCGAAGCAGAAGAAGCTGCAAACAAAGGAAACCTCGCAACACTTTAAAAAGCAATTAGGTTCCTATCGGGGAAGAGATCAACACAAAATAAGCCAGTGGAGGATGATAATAGAAAGTCAACCACCAAAGAGGTGGAGCTGTGCTGAACACTTCAAAAGACTTCCTAATCAACGGCTACCTACAAAGCGTCCAATAGTTCCAACAGCGAAAGCAGAAATACCAATGGATACGAATCCTCCAACGAAAGCAGAAATCCTGAAGGCAATAACAATGCTAAAATGGATAATGCGACAGACAGACAACGGGCAACGAAGAGACAGGCATAAAATGAACCCACACAAAAAACTTGGAGGATCTGGACTTCGCCGATGATATATGTCTGATTTCCGACACACTGGAAGATATGCAAGTGAAAAGCGACAAGTTGAAAAAAGAAGCATTAAAAATGGAACTTCCTTCAGGTGAACCTAGAGAAAACAGAGGTGTTGAAGATTCCTGGCTAACAACAACAGAAAACAATCGGCATAAATGGGGGAAATTTGTAAAAAGTAACCTCCATTGCCTACCTGAGAAGCATCGTTTCAATTACAAGCAGAACTGATGAGGATATCAAAGCGTAGATTGGGAAAGCAAGGCAAACTTAGATAACTCTCAAGTTTGTGTGGAGATCAACAGCACTCAGCATGAAAATGAAAATAAGATCCGGATTTTCAACTCCAATGTGAAGTCGGTACTACTATACACATCAGAGACTTGCCGTGTCACGAAGGGCACTTCGAACAAACTACAGACTTTCATCAACAGCTGTCTTCGCTCAATACTCAAGAGCAGATGGCCAGAAGAGATCAAGAATAGTGTGGAATCTGTGGGAGCGAACCAACCAGGAACCGACTGTGCAACAAATATGCAGGAACAAATGGAGTTGGATCTGTCATATTCTGAGAAAACCACCACGTGGTATCACACGCCAAGCTCTCGAGTGGAACCCGAATGGAAAGCGGCCAGTTCGTCGTCACTACATTGAGTAGTTCATGCCACTACATTTCCCAAAACGAGTAAGGTGACACATATAATAAGAAGATATATCACACTGAATAAAGAAGTGAAGAAAAGTGCTAGGAAAGACAAACGATTATTCTACGACACACTGACTGGGGACTGAACAGAACAAGCCGCATGTAATCAGGCTGTTCGCTATCCTGGAAGAGATCAACACAAATAATGGAACCAATAAAAGATATTCAAGGGAACCTGATCACCAAGGAGGAGAAACAAATAAAACATTAGGCTGATCACTTTAAAGGACTCTTCAATCAACCATCACCTGCAATTCGACCAGAAATACCACCACCAACAACAACAGCACGCACAGAAGTGCCTGTCAGTGGATACCAATCCTCCAACGAAGGTAGAAGTCCCGAATGCGATCAAGCTGCTGAAGGCTAGCTGGGAAGGCAGCAGGACCAGTTGAAATTCCCCCCGAAATACTGAAAACGGACCCAAAGATCGTGGCAGATTTTCTCAAAAGTTTGGAAAGAAGGAATGGTGTCTATCGATTGGAAGAAGGTCTGGCTACCTTGTCAAGCTGTCAAAGAACGGCGACTTACGCCTCACTCTGCAATAACTGGCGTAGAATCATGATCTTGTCAACGCCAAGTAAAATACTAGGTCGCGTCATCCCGGAGAGAATAAAAGATGGACTGGATGCAGAATTCCTCTAGCCTGGAACAAGTTGGATTTAGGAGAGGCAAATCATGTGCTGATCAAATTGCAACTCTACGCATCGTCATCACAGAACAAAGCATAGAATGGCAGTCAAACCTCTCTCCACCTCAACTTCCTTCATCGACTTCTAAAGGGCATTCGACGGACAGCGCTGACCGAGAAGTATTTAGGAAACTACTTCAACACTATGGATACAGTGCCCAATTCTTTATCAACCTCATTCAACAGCTCAGTATATGACAGTAGCACGTGTCAAGTGATCCAGCGAGGTGTTCGAAGTGCATACAGCAGTACGACAAGTCTGGCTACCTATTAACACCGATATTCCTAATTGTGATGGACTGAATTATGCTGATGATATATGTTGTAATGTCACACAAACTCGAAAAGTTGTAGGTGAAAACCAACAAACTGGCAGAAGATGTTGGCAGTGAAGACAGGACTGCAGGTGTACATAGAGAAGACGGAGGTGACGAAGATAACCAACGAACAGCAGCAGCAACAACCACAACAACAAAAACCAACACCACTCACCATCAGTGGGAGAGATTTGACGGAGGTTACTTCCCGCCTTCACTTACCTGACCGGGAAGCATCGTTTCGACTGCTGGAGGAATGGACGAAGATTTCAAAACCAGCCAGCCAGTCAGAATAGGAAATGCGAGATACGTTTTCATCAACCTGAAACGAGTTTGGAAATCTCCTACACTCACCATAAGGAACAAGATTCACGTTTTCAACACAAATGTCAAGTCAGTCAGTGGTTCGATACGGGTCACAAACTTGGCCAGCGTGTCACGAAAAGCATTTCCAACAGCCAACTGCAGACTTTAATCAACAGCTGCCTACTTCGTTGGGTGGCTCCCTTCTGGAGATCAAATGGCCAGCCAGCTGGCCGGAGAGAATTAGTAACCAGAAATTCTGGCTGGGAACAAACCAACATGTGAGAGCCTATTGCTCAACAAATATTTAGGAGGAAGTGGGTATGCATTGATCGGGCATGCGTTGAGGAGGCAGTCGAATGAAATGGCGCTCAGTGCAGGCCATCGCTCGAGTGGAATCCAAATGGGAAGTGACGAGTGGGTCGTCAGTGCGAGGGTTACATGGAGGAGATCGTGTGAGAAAGAGATGAGCGATTCTGGGCAACCGTGGACCCAGCTGAGGAGGATGGCAGAAGATAGAACAAAGTGGATGTGTGTTTGAAGCCCTATGTTCCACTCGGTACCCAAGGAAACAATAATAATAATGTCACACTTTCGTATATTATACTCTCAGGATTTATTATATACCGGTGTTTTTGTGATATAATGAATTGTACCTACTAGGAATACACACAGAATACCACACTCAATGTGTATCAGTTAGTGTTTTGAAAGTTTACCAGGAGTGATAAGATTTCTTTCTTCTATTAGTCTTACTTTTAGTCGATTTCAATGCTTACTACAATTATCTCTTATTGTTTGTATAATCATTTCAGACTATTTCAATGTTCTTTGCTTGTGTTCAGCTGCCAAATAGGTCGTTAAGCTGATGTATAATTATGATGGGGAATGTTTATGACAAACTTTTCTCTGAATGTTCTTCAATATTAAGAAATCTGCATACAAATCACAACGGTTATTTCTCGCCCTAACTTAAAGCAATATCAAAAACTGTACTATTTTACATTGTTTTTAGGGTTTGGCCAATTCATATGTTAAGGTCATCAGTCGTTCGATCTCATGTGATAATTCATTATAGTTTATTTCCTCACCCTTTCACAATTTCCTTGGCATACTATAAATTATATTTGGGGTGACTGTACTTTTCACAGTATAACTATGTCTTCTGTAGTTTTATAAATCACTATTCAATTTGTATAGTGATCTACTTGAATTCGTCGCTATAGTTACTATTGCTACATTTCAATTTCTTACTACATATTTTTGCAGCGTCCTATTGTTTTTGTTTTTAAACTAACAAACACATTCTTCATTATCTGAAACAAAGTGTCTCACAAATAATTCAATCAACCTTTCTGTATTGAATACCTAAAAGATTGTGGAAATGTATTGCATTTTTGTTTATTTTAGGATTCAACAATGCTAAGAAAATAACTCAATGCATTGATAGATAAGGAAAAGATGTCTTCAATTTCTATTTCGATAATCTGATTGAAGAATCAATATAAGAGTTTGCATGAACTGCATCAATTTTTATTGAAGCACCTGGAGATTAACAACCTTATCAACTGACTGTCACTCTAAACATAAAAACCCAAGACTATTGTGACTATGACTTATTATGTCACTTCACATAAAGCAAGCGACTGAACGAAGACACTTATGATCAAAAATATGATAGTTTCATTTCATCGTAACATAAGACCAAATGGATTGTTGTGCAGTTCATGTTCATCCAGATATCATACCTTGAACAAAGGTGACTAAAATTGACGCATATTTTAATAAACAAAATATTCAAGAATCTCGCATATTGTATTAGCTAAACTGGCCTGCCACTTATAGAACTATCTCGCGTTTCCATAAGCCAACTCAAAGCTTACTTAATTCATCACCGACTACTTCATATCCCTGTGGTAGTATCCAACAGAGGTGGTCTTCATTTTCTATTGATTATAAAATTGTTGGATTACTGTAGGCTGTCAACTATCGTCATCAATTAATGCATCCGAGTGGTTTCTACAGAATGAGTGTCGTTGTTGTGCTACGGTAAGTGTGTAGTTAAGTCATTCTTATAAACATGTGAAATTTCCATCAAAAGGGGAGGATATGTCATGGCATTGTAGCGGCTTGTCATCCACATTTTCTCACTTGCATACACATGCATTTAAAAGTGCATGGTCTGGGAGTGCACTTCTGGCAGCCTTTAGTTCCATACCATGGTTGTATGCGCTGATTTTGGATGTTCTATGTGTACAGACATTATTACTATGTCCGATACAATATGGCAACAAGTATTTTAATATTCAAATTGCTACCGTGATTGTCTGGAAAGGTTAGTACACTACTGAATACCTGTCGGTGAGTTCTTATTCGCCTAATTTGCGTTTCTTTCTTTCTAAAACTTAGGATACATAATTGATCTGACTCAATCGCATAATCCTGCTTTTATAATTTCTGGATTGGGTATGGTCTTATCAGCGTTTTCTGTAATCCCTGTAATTGTCCAACGTTTTCGCCGGAAGAGAGCTCGCCGACTACGTCGTCTTCAGCAGAATTGTACTGAACCAATACTGGAAGTGAAAAAGTAACTCCTTGTGAATGATAGTGATCACATGACATTAAAGAAGAGATATGTTACCAAATGTGTAATATTAGTGCTCAGATATTTCTGTTAACTTTTTATACAAATTTATTGTTTTTAGCTATTTCACTTCTTCTTCTTCTTATAGTCTCCTGTGTAACAATTATTTCTTTTGCATTCATCTATTACTACTAGATTACTTTTTATTATTTACTGCAATGTACTTGGTTGGTTCTAATTATTATACTTTTTACTTCAAGCTTAATTATCTGTGTTGTTTACTTCTTCTCATCTCCTGCAATTCTTTTGTTTTGTCTTAAAGTCATGATTATTAACTCATTGCTCATCATCAACTGTTACCCACAGCATTTTGTCAGCTAGAACAATCGAATTATGAGTGCATTTCTACGCAGAATGTCAATTAGAAATTAATATAAATCTGCGAAATACTTCATTTGAAAACATGCAGTGTTTAGCGAAACTGTTGTTTCAAACCCATATTGGCAAGCTCTTCACTGTTATTTTTCTAACTCTTTTCATTGTTATTGTTGTCATCATTGTTACTACTTGTGTTTGCCTTTTACCTTTCTCTATTTTGCTCCATATTTTTCATCAGTTCTTTTTTTTATCATAGTATGAGTAGTAGTATCATACTTTTATTCAACTATCAATACATATAAGATACAATGTGTGTCACCTCAGTGGGTGGCGAATGGTGCTTTCATGATCCTGTTTTATAAATTGGCTATGCCTTACTATGATTCCTATATTTATTACAGTTATTACACTCAGTTATATTTGTCATTATGACCGTGGATATCATTATTCTTATTCTTCTTCTTATTTTTTTTTTTTTTGAGGATATAACTTAGTAGATTTTGATTCAGAGAAGATGATATTACACTATTTTCATACAATACACACAGAAACACATTTTGTATGTAGATGAAGAATGAAGGACAGTTTATTGCAATCCGGTCTTGTATTCCTCTTTTACTAGACATTTTGATCTGAATTACACATCATCACAGATAGTGAGATGCATAAACAACTGAATCATTCATTTGTCTATCTACTTTCCTTGAATACATTTTCATCTATCATCATCAAGATTTTACGTGAACAGAAGATTGCATGAAGACTGCACCATCACCCACTTAAAGACATATTTTACAAATTTAGTGATTATAGTTTTATGATAGAAAATATCTTTACATTCTATTGAAATACAAATTGTTTTTAACAAAGCACATGTACGTGTTTTTTTAATTCGTTCCGTTCTCACATGTGTTTCAATGTTATAGGTGTACAATAAGAGAGGAGCGTTGATATTTTGGTTCAGAAATTTCAAATTGACTTCATATGTTATCCAGCTGTCTGTCTGTCTGAAAAGAACCTGAAGTGTTAAATTTGTATTCTTATAAAAACCACTGACAGTATTCCCCGTGTGCACTGACACCTAGCGACTGCCGATATCTTTGTATTGCCCACCAGTGCAATGCGTTTTTGGATTATCTAAGCGGAAATGGCATGTAGTGTTGATCTTCGCTTATGTTATCTTAAACATGCACCGTATTTGGTTAGTATAAATTTTATTAACTATTTAGATACATAAATTAAATGACGTCGAAAGTATTGTACTTAGCTAATCGTTATTTCCTTAGGTATCCATGTTGACTAGTTATTCTGAGATTCTTTAAAGACATATGCCAGTTTCACTAGACCTGAAACTTATGTATGTTATCTTAAATAAAACATATCCTAATCGGTAAATATGAGCACCTGACAAAGATGAACTAAATATCGGGATTTACTCGCTCCCAAATGGGTTATTCGTTGAAATAAAGAGACTAGAAATTCACTGTATTTTTGGAAACGAGAAACACTACTGAAGTTCATACTTCAGTAAATTAAAGGGGCATAGATTCGTGGGAATTTTTCTGTCAGGAAACCTTATCTCTAAATGGCAATACCCTCTGATCTCCAACATACCACTAAAAATGTAAAATAGTATCCAGACGGTTTATTAAATAGAATTTTCTTCCAGCGAGCGTCATAGCTTTAGAATGGTAATGCAGATACGAGGTGATTTCCGTTAGAGATAAGATTCCCAGTAATGGTTTCTTAACAAGTCAGTATTCTGTAAGAGACCGTATACTTCCCACCGTCCCGTTTCCAGACACCACGTCCCTAATGTTTCAGTGTAGACGTGCATCAGTTCACAGAAAATGCGTTGGTGGCACAGCGGTAGAGTGCTCGCCGACCACGCAAGTGGTCCGAGGTTTGATCCCTGGCCGACGCACTACTTTACCTCGCTAAACCAGTGATAAGACTGGGAAAGAGGGAAGGTTGGGCATGAAGCTGGCAACCCCATCCTGTAAAAATAATCACCACTGCTACTGAAACTTCAAGCCTCTAGCTTGAAACCCTATGTTCCACTTGTAACGTAAAGGAATAAAAGAACAGCAAACGAAAATGTACGGATGAAGGAGTAATCACACGAAGATTTCCGGAAACTGGGAGGTTTAAAAAAGCGGGAACATCAAAGCCACTGAAAACAATGTTGAACCACGTCGCTAAGAGTCGCAAGACAGGCAGTATACACATGCCTGCATGGCTCGAACCTACAATAAACAACCTTAATACTTGTCTAACCACTCCTGACTGTTTCCCGACCTACTCCTAATTCAGCTAACATTGCTTGTCGAGGTAGTTGGTGACTATGCACTACTAGGACGTGTCCTAGACATCTCAATGGACGGAGTTCCACAACCGCGTCAATTGGTGGCATAAGGCAACTTAGGCTGCCTCTGAGGTCTTGATGAAGTCAGTTTGATCTTCCTAGGTCAGACACGGTGGACAGTCTCGTGTTCTCTGCCTGTAAAACCTGGCTTGCATAGACTAGTGATGTGAGGTAACTCTGCGTGTTGGACCATCAATATCTACATAGCAATGCATATTAGTCCACCTACAATTCTCAGTGGAAAAGTTCTAAAGACCTAAACACAGATTAAAAGTGATACATAAGATGAGGCGAATTTACTTGTAAAAGCAACTAGTATGAAAATTAGCCCTCGAGAAGAATAAACAGCTTACAAAGTAAAATTTTCCAAATAAAGTGCGATTCTGCACGAGTGCATTTAAGAAGACAAGTGTAAGGAACAGCAATCTGCTAGTCTAATCCTAAATATTTCAGAAACATAATACATTTCAACCAAATCAATTTCTATAAACAAAATAAAACAGCTCATTCAAAATACAATTATTGATAAAGCATATATAGCCTCAGCCCTACAATATCTCCTTGTATAAAACAAAAGTAAAAAACTTGGAAATTCATCAAGAAATTATTTGAAATCACACAAGACATTTACAGCTCACGTGGATATTATGACTTCCTTATGTTCACCGGACTGCACGGTTTCAGTGTGAAGTATCCATTGTCCTTCTAGACAATATATTCAGCACTAACTACACAGCAAAGTGAACTTTCAGAATTCTCCATCAATGAAAAATTCATCTGTCTTGGTTGCCTTGACTAGAATTGGTTGTCTTCGAAGGTGTTTCTCATTCTTCTGTTCACTTGTATTCGCATTGATCGTTTCCTTGACCTAATAGTTGACCTTTTCCCATGTGAATTGTTCTTTACTGATCATCTTTGTATCTTGAGTCTTTTACAACCCAGAGTTTTACATATTTCCTATATGTACTCAAAATTTATTTCACCAGCATACCACAGCCCCTTTTCTGTTAGAAAGTCAACTCTATTTTTTAATTGTCAGCACAGAATAGGAAAGAATATATGTAAGCTTGGAGAGACTGACGTTCTGACATAACACAAAACGTTGGACAGAGAATTCTCTGGCCTCAGTAACACATGATACAATTGTGAATGTCCACAGAAACATAAGTTTGTTTGAGGCGACAGACTCATGAATATGTGGCTGCCGACCCTGAATAACACAAAACCTAAGAGAAGCGAATAATCCCATAGACTGAACACTAATCAGAGAAATGTGTCTTTCAAATTCTCACCTATCAAATTTAGTAACTGAGAGTGTGATGTATTCGCACAATATATCCAGATAAGCTCTATCTTGTAATAACACCATCGAAATTTATTGAATAGACTAGCTCTTCTAAACTATAAATGTAGTTATGAAATGTGGAAAAGTAGACCTAAATGTATGAAATATTAAGTTTCGTTGTTTCTGGGACGGCTAATACAAAGCGTGAGTGGTAGAAATACATGAAATGACTGTTTTGCTACATAAAACCGGTGGTTACGACAGCGTCAAAGAAAATGTTAATATAGTAAGAAGGGAAAACACCAAAGCTAGTGGAATGTCCTTTCTTTGAAAAACTGTCCCATTGAAAATTCCACTTAATAAAATGTAGATATTAGTGAATCATTATGTCGAGGACTATATATTTCACTTGAAGATAAAATTGACATAGTGTAACGGATGACTGCAGGGATGAAACGTGTATAGTATTAGTATAAGAAGTTACGATAAAGGCGGGAAGTTAACCGCATTAGTTGGTGAAGGAGTATTGACTGGTCAACATTCAACGAAAAAGTAGTCCTCAACGTCACAATCATTCATCAAACTTGTTTCACAAGAAGTACAATATGCACTAGATACAACTGTTTTGCTTGTACAATGTGTCAGTAATAAAGTTCGTGTTGTACACAATTGACAGATTCCCGTATAACTAGCTTAAAATAATAACGCATATTATTTTTATCAGTCGTCCGACTAATCTCTTTGATACATGCCTCATTTAGTATAAACAAATTGAAATCTAAACTGAATGATGTCATGAGATTTGGGGGAATGTATATTATCTCTCTCTCTCTCTCGAGTTAGCTAGCATGTACTTTTTAAAAAAACATTATTTTATATTGTGTAAGTTGTTAATAATACTACTGACTTAGATGTGACTTGCCTATTAGAGATGTAGAATTTTATCCACATGAGATTGTTCATTAGCGTTGGAAAAGCTGCTATTAGGCGATGTTTATTCAGTTATACTTAGGATGACTGCAGCGCTTGTATAATATCTCCCAACAATCCTCAGGCTTTCGAATACTGTAAAGTTTTGTAGCATTCTTAACGTAGTGTTCAAGCTACCATGATAGCGTAACATCAAAGTGAACACAGCAAATGAGGTCAAGAGACCTATTCATAACATACAAATTGCAAAATAATGTTTTTTTAAAAAGTACATGCTAGCTAACTCGAGAGAGAGAGAGAGAGATAATATACATTCCCCCAAATCTCATGACATCATTCAGTTTAGATTTCAATTTGTTTATACTAAATGAGGCATGTATCAAAGAGATTAGTCGGACGACTGATAAAAATAATATGCGTTATTATTTTAAGCTAGTTATACGGGAATCTGTCAATTGTGTACAACACGAACTTTATTACTGACACATTGTACAAGCAAAACAGTTGTATCTAGTGCATATTGTACTTCTTGTGAAACAAGTTTGATGAATGATTGTGACGTTGAGGACTACTTTTTCGTTGAATGTTGACCAGTCAATACTCCTTCACCAACTAATGCGGTTAACTTCCCGCCTTTATCGTAACTTCTTATACTAATACTATACACGTTTCATCCCTGCAGTCATCCGTTACACTATGTCAATTTTATCTTCAAGTGAAATATATAATCCTCGACATAATGATTCACTAATATCTACATTTTATTAAGTGGAATTTTCAATGGGACAGTTTTTCAAAGAAAGGACATTCCACTAGCTTTGGTGTTTTCCCTTCTTACTATATTAACATTTTCTTTGACGCTGTCGTAACCACCGGTTTTATGTAGCAAAACAGTCATTTCATGTATTTCTACCACTCACGCTTTGTATTAGCCGTCCCAGAAACAACGAAACTTAATATTTCATACATTTAGGTCTACTTTTCCACATTTCATAACTACATTTATAGTTTAGAAGAGCTAGTCTATTCAATAAATTTCGATGGTGTTATTACAAGATAGAGCTTATCTGGATATATTGTGCGAATACATCACACTCTCAGTTACTAAATTTGATAGGTGAGAATTTGAAAGACACATTTCTCTGATTAGTGTTCAGTCTATGGGATTATTCGCTTCTCTTAGGTTTTGTGTTATTCAGGGTCGGCAGCCACATATTCATGAGTCTGTCGCCTCAAACAAACTTATGTTTCTGTGGACATTCACAATTGTATCATGTGTTACTGAGGCCAGAGAATTCTCTGTCCAACGTTTTGTGTTATGTCAGAACGTCAGTCTCTCCAAGCTTACATATATTCTTTCCTATTCTGTGCTGACAATTAAAAAATAGAGTTGACTTTCTAACAGAAAAGGGGCTGTGGTATGCTGGTGAAATAAATTTTGAGTACATATAGGAAATATGTAAAACTCTGGGTTGTAAAAGACTCAAGATACAAAGATGATCAGTAAAGAACAATTCACATGGGAAAAGGTCAACTATTAGGTCAAGGAAACGATCAATGCGAATACAAGTGAACAGAAGAATGAGAAACACCTTCGAAGACAACCAATTCTAGTCAAGGCAACCAAGACAGATGAATTTTTCATTGATGGAGAATTCTGAAAGTTCACTTTGCTGTGTAGTTAGTGCTGAATATATTGTCTAGAAGGACAATGGATACTTCACACTGAAACCGTGCAGTCCGGTGAACATAAGGAAGTCATAATATCCACGTGAGCTGTAAATGTCTTGTGTGATTTCAAATAATTTCTTGATGAATTTCCAAGTTTTTTACTTTTGTTTTATACAAGGAGATATTGTAGGGCTGAGGCTATATATGCTTTATCAATAATTGTATTTTGAATGAGCTGTTTTATTTTGTTTATAGAAATTGATTTGGTTGAAATGTATTATGTTTCTGAAATATTTAGGATTAGACTAGCAGATTGCTGTTCCTTACACTTGTCTTCTTAAATGCACTCGTGCAGAATCGCACTTTATTTGGAAAATTTTACTTTGTAAGCTGTTTATTCTTCTCGAGGGCTAATTTTCATACTAGTTGCTTTTACAAGTAAATTCGCCTCATCTTATGTATCACTTTTAATCTGTGTTTAGGTCTTTAGAACTTTTCCACTGAGAATTGTAGGTGGACTAATATGCATTGCTATGTAGATATTGATGGTCCAACACGCAGAGTTACCTCACATCACTAGTCTATGCAAGCCAGGTTTTACAGGCAGAGAACACGAGACTGTCCACCGTGTCTGACCTAGGAAGATCAAACTGACTTCATCAAGACCTCAGAGGCAGCCTAATTTGCCTTATGCCGCTCCGGCTCTGGTTATACGATTAGAGATCTAAACTATCATATCAGGTGTAGCACTCATGCAACTGCCTATATACTCGAACTTTTCGATGTTTGCAGTCTCTGCAACTTGATTTAATTTGCGGTTCTTTGCCCATTGACATAAGTTGCATTGAAATGTTTCTTTGTAGCTAATGCTTACTATGAAATGTTCCCGTCTTAATGTTCCTTTTTAATTTGTACGTATTTACTGGATCAGCAATTTAGGAATGCTTTATTTTCTCATGTAGTCTTTGATGGACCCTAAATTTTGTATAGGTACTCTGTTATTTCTCTTAAATAGTATATGTCTATTACAGATTAATTTTTCTTTACACGCTCTATCACCTTTTTACTATCATTATTCAACTTCATGACTAAAAAGCTTTCTAACTTCTCAAGGAGAGCAAATGTCTGCAACTAGCTGTCGGTTATAGATGTCTAGGACGCCTACACGTTATCAGTATTTTTCCCAGACCGCTAAAATTAAATCACTTGTTAAAAATGAAATGAGTAATTTATGGTCGCTTTTAGCAGCTATGTTTTCATGATGATACGTTTATTAGTTTTAAATACCCTGGAGCACCTACATTAAATAAACAATGCCGAAATGTTTTTTAAAACATGTTTTCAGGGGCAATTCAAATAGTTTTTCAACTCAGACATAATATAACAACAGACATTATAAAAGGTCCATTTTTATGTCGGTCATTCTGTACACTACATCATTACAATACAACAAACTTGAAACTGTGAAAATATTTTGTAGTGAAGGAATCATTGATTAGTCAGTTGTTTAAACTCGAGAATGTGAACGATAACAAGCAATCACATAATAAGGTGAGATAGCGTAAAAATATCAAAAAGTAACATAGTTAGACAGAGGGAACTGCTATATGTAGAATATTTAACCATCATATCAGCACACAATACAAGGAATAGAAAATGTGCAAAACCAATTTTTAATACAGAGAAAGTTGAACTAATAAACAGGTGGGAATAAAAGCGATATAGTGCAAGTGAGGAAGTCACTTCGATATACCCATATGATTATGAATAGTAAATTGTGCTTGAAACGTAATTCAGTTATGAATAGTATATCACTTCGTCGTATACCAAGTGAACTTATGCAATACGGGGTAATATTCCACCGCAGTACCTAAATTCGACTTTTACGCTATATCAACACATTTGGGTATATGACTGGCAAAACTAGTCAACAGCTGCCTCAGTAATATTGTCATCTTTAAGTATGCGGCGAGCACATACAAATTAATAATCATATTTATTATATATCTGTGGAGATATCCAATGTATCGTTATCGAATACAGCACACTATTAATGATTTCACTGAATTCCCATAAAACATGATTTTATTCCTTTTTTCTAAACCTGCTGAAAAATGTTTGTACATGTATGCTGTCCTGCTGACATATATCGGTGATTCACAAATCTTCCTCCTATTTATCACTGAGACATGTCAATTCATTCTGTGAAACAGTGTTCCAACTAGCACATATAGGTGGTTATTAGGATAAAAATTGTTAAAATCCGAGTAAATTCCATTCCATGAGCTTTTTTGCCTTTGAAGAATACCACATATCCTAGGCTGTATGATTATGTCCAGGAAGCTGAACTAGATATCACTGTTATTATGAAAGTTCTGAAAGTTTTGTAGCAAGCCGGATACATGGAATCTTTTTCTCTGAACATATGTTTCAATTTTGTACTCTCTAGGTTCGCTATGAATATACTTAGCAATACGAGATGTTTTGCGTATCCCAATTATACTCTCCTCTCTGTGAGTGCCGGTCTCTATTTTCAATAGAATTAGGTTAGTAGTGCACATTAGTGAAAGGTGACTGATCTCCTTTGATCCTTTTTGAAAACGATTAAAAATCTGGCATGTAATTCCAATGGTTTTATTAACGGTTACGTTTGTGAAAAAGGGAAGCTGCATCAAATGACACTATAAAGGTCTTGAAAACCATGAGATGATTTATTTTGTCGGACAAGTGAAATGAAATTTTTTGCAGGTCAATGAACGGGTTTCAGCTTTCAGCCAACTAGCAAGTTACTTTGTTTTGGAGTGAATTTATTATGAATAGCATAGATGCGCATATGTAACTTCGACGTCCTATGAAATTCTCCAGGCTTCAGATAACTGAGTGCAAAATGATATGCCAGCTGCTTTATCCACAGTTCTTTCATCATCTTTGTGATTAGATTTTCTGTTAAGTTGATCATATCTTTCTTGATAAATTTTATTTTTCAGTTTCATGGAATACTGGGGAATTGAGTTATTCTTGCATTATTAGGGTGATCAAACTTTTATCTAATCTTAATGTCACTATTTTCTATCGTTATCTTTCTTATATGACCGTTAATACACTTGATAGGTGCGCTGTCGAATTTCCTACCTAGTCGTTTAGCCGTCTTACTGTTCTAACCACTATTAGCCAACAACAACACGATGCGATACAAACCAAACCGCGACGCAAGACAAGAAGAGAAGGTAGACAGTTGACGTAGACAGCTTTTACTGTCTGATACTAGTAGTGAAAATGATTGACAGCGCCTGTGTGTATATATGCTTTAGATGATCTTAAGACACACTAACTGCATTGATAAAATAAAACAGTCAAAAACCAGTAGGATTTCAAGGTCATAACTGGGGGGGAGGAACACAACCAGCAGTGTAAAGATGAATGTAGTATTTTAGGAAAATTAGCTCTATATAAAACATCCATATTGTTCAGTAATAATGGTGCTCTTTCAGCTAAATTATTGACTGTGAGATTGGTAGGATGAAAAATCAAACAAATTAGCTTTGAACCAATCCCTTTAGTCCTCATATACTACCTTTGTATATTGCACCTAGCTAAATAAATCCTCCAAATACACCCTTGTATCATATTCATTCGTTGGTTTCCTATGGAAATATAACCTAACTCCATATAGCAGTGATCTAGATGTAATTTAATTTAACTTCAACTTAAATAGGAAGAGATTTTGAGCAAAGCCTATTTATAACTTATTATTATTATCAGGGCGAGGCGCATGCATATAGCACACAGCCTTCTTCAAACCTTACACAACCATTAGGTCGCGTACCATCCCATCGACCTTGGCGGATCTGGCAACAAAAGTCACGAGAACACCATCAGAGCATATGACGAGGTTAAGTACTAACCTCGCCTAGTTAACCAGCTTGCTAGTTTTCTAGTCGGTCCCAAGCCCAGGTAAAGAGGAATGGTTGGGCGTGGGGCTAGCAATCCCACATCACTAAATCTTTCAAACCGCCAGAGGAAACTTCAACTCACAGAAAATATATTAGGAATACAAACACTTCAAATAAAAATCATATTTTTCGCTGCAATTGAGTGTCTGAATGAGACAGCGGGCTGGTGAAAGACTTGGGGAAGCCAGTCAGCCAGACGATGTGTTTTCCATCGATGAAAGCAAGAATAAGAATGGGGACGTGGAATGTCCGTACAGTGTCCGAGGCTGGCTGAGAAGTCTGCTCAGGCAGCCAAAGAGATGCGAAGATATGGTTTAGAAGTATGCCTACTTGTACTCATGCAGCCAGGTGAGGGCTAACGGCGAGTTGTCATCTGAAGTGGTGACGACTAGTGGCGTCCGTCAAGGATGCCCATTATCCCCATTTCTATTCAACTTCATCATAGATGTACTAATGGAATTAACCCTAACTCACTTCAGCGACTCAGGGATTGACTTGCTACCAGAGAATAATCTCGTTGACTTAGAATATGCAGATGACAATCCTTTTAAGTGAAGACGCTGACAAAATGCAAAGTCTTCTGACCACATTGAGCTGCAATCTCCGCATGTTTGGCATGCGATTCGCTCCCGCCAAATGCAAGATGATGTTACAGGATTGAACTACACCGACTCCTAGAGTAGAAATAGGAAGTGAAGTGGTAGAACACGTTGACCGCTTCACTTACTTGGGAAGTACCATCAGCCCCAACGGGTTGATCGCTGACGAAATCTCAGCACAGATACAGAGGGCTAGTTTCGCATATGCCAGTTTACGCCATTTCTGGCGTAGATGTGATATCTGGTTATCGACTAAAAGCCTTGTGTACTGCTCATCAGTCCGCTCCGTCCTCCTTTATGGCTGTGAGACCTGGCCATTGAGAATGGAAGACATGAAAAGCCTAGCTAGCTGTCTTTGATCATAGGTTCCTGCTTTGTATCTCCCGTGTGAAGCGGTGTAATAAGGTGAGCAATACTGAGGTTAGGTGTCGAGTGCTAGGTAAGGGGGGAAATCAGTCGACGAAACTGTGAAATTAAATCGACTGAGATGGTTAGGACATGTGTTACGTATGCCTAGTCATCGCCTGCCTCGACGGGCAATGTTAGCTGATATAGGGTCAGGCTGGAAAAGAGCTAGCGTCGGTCAAACCAAAACATGGCGTTGGTCAATGAAATCTACAACAGTTAGTCTAAGCCACGTAGGAAGGTGTAGACTTCCTGGTTGGGGTCCTCGGGATGGGAAAAACCAATGGTTGGAAACAATTGGTGACATGGCTCAAAATCGTTGTCAATGGCGCATATGCATCCACTCCTTGTGACTTATGATTTCCAATGAGACTGTTTTGCTCTCCGTTATTACTATTCCTTTGTCTCACACCTCTGTTTACTGTCTATATTATGCATTTCTCCTGCTTTCTTCTCTTGCTTTGCGTGCTACATAGATTGTGGCGACTTGAACTGCCGCGCATATCTGCAAAGTTCTATGTCGAAAACAGACAGACAGACAGATGGCTTAGAATTAGTGGGTCTCTGCGAAAGCAGATGGAATGGATGTGGACTGACAACACTGTCAACTGGAGAGTCAGTAATCTACTCCTGTATGAACACTCAGACGACAACCACGAACACACCGAGGCAGTGAGTGGCTATAATGATGTCACTAGTGTCAGCTAAAGTCCTAATGTAGTGGGAACCAATCTTCTCATGCAGGATCATGACAGCAAGATTCAACTCAAAAGTAGGAAGGAAGGTCACAATTATTATGCAATGCTACACACAGTGGCAAACGCGGAACAAGAAAAGAAGGAGAATTTTTACAGACAACTACAAACAGTGATGGACAACATCTTGAATGGTGACATCAAAATCTTCATGGGCGATATGAATGCCAGCAGGGCTGGGAGCAGATAATACAGGAAGAGAAATCATCATGAGTCGAGAGGCTCTCACCTGGCGAAACGAATGATAACATGGAATTATTCGCAGACTTCTGCACTTTCAAGGACTTGGTGATCGGAGGGAGCCTGTACAAGCACACGAATATACATAAAGCAACATTGATTTTGCCTGATGGACATACCACAAATCATCTCAATGCTGCTCAACTAAGTGGAGACGCAGCCAGCCTGGTGGACACGAAGTCGAGAAGGGGAGCAGATATGGGCGGGCTCAGACCATCATTTATTTCAAGGATCCTTCAAGGTGAAGCTGAATTCCCTCAAAACAACTGGAGACAGGCCACTACAATTCAAGTCTAACATTCAGAAACTGAGGGACAAAACTACAAGAAGTGCCTTCACTACACATCAGACAAGATGAGAGCAAAGTCGGAGACACTATGTGGCAACAGTGAGAAAACTTGTGTGCAAGAACATTCGAATTAACCAACTGTCTGAAGGTGGTTTTCAAGGAAACGTGCACAACGATTCTAGGAAGAGAGAAGAGACCCGACGAGGAATGGCTGTCAATGGACACCTACTTGAAGGCTCATGGAAGCGAGGAGATGAGAATGGTGAAAGCAAAGATGACTCAATGCAAAGATGGGCAACAGAAGGAGAAGCCTGAGTTCATTGTACACTGCACAGAATAAAGAAGTGAAGAAGAATGCTATAAAAGACAGAAGACAACTCTACGACTCAGTGGCTGGGAGCAGCTGAAGCAGAACACGCAGACAGGCCGCAGGCAAAAGAGACATCAGGACACAATATCAGATAACCAGGCTGTTCGCAGTCCGAGATGAGATCAACCCAAATGATGAAACCAATAAAAGATGTTCAAGCGAACTTGATTATCAAGGAGGGGAAACAAATAAAACATTAGGCTGATCACTTTAAAGGACTCTTCAATCAACCATCACCTGCAATTCGACCACCAACAACAGCACGCACAGAAGTGCCTGTCAGTGGACACCAATCCTCCGACGAAGGTAGAAATCCCGAATGCGATCAAGCTACTGAAGGCAGCAGGACCAGATGGAATTCCCCCCGAAATACTGAAAACGGACCCAGAGGCTGCTGTGGATGTGATCACGCTATCACTGAAAAAGGTTTGGAAAGAAGGAATGGTGTCTGTCGATTAGAAGAAGGACTGAATACCTTGTCAAGCTGTCAAAGAACGGCGACTTACGCCTCACTCTGCAATAACTGGCGTAAAGTCATGCTCTTGTCCACACCAAGTAAAATACTAGGTCGCGTCATTCCAGGGAGAATAAAAGATGGACTGGATGCAGAATTCCTCTAGCCTGGAACAAGTTGGATTCAGGAGAGGCAAATCATGTGCTGATCAAATTGCAACTCTACGCATCGTCATCACAGAACAAAGCATAGAATGGCAGTCAAACCTCTCTCCACCTCAACTTCCTTCATCGACTTCGAAAGGGCATTCGACGGACAGCGCTGACCGAGAAGTAATTTGGAAACTACTTCAACACTATGAAATACAGTGCCCAATTCTTTATCAACCTCATTCAACAGCTCAGTATATGACAGTAGCACGTGTCAAGTGATCCAGCGAGGTGTTCGAAGTGCATACAGCAGTACGACAAGTCTGGCTACCTATTAACACCGATATTCCTAATTGTGATGGACTGAATTATGCTGATGATATATGTTGTAATATCACACAAACTCGGAAAGTTACAGGCGAAAACAAACAAACTGGCAGAAGAGGGTAGCAGTGAAGACAGGACTGCAGGTGAACACAGAGAAGACGGAGGTGACGAAGATAACCAACGAACAGCAGCAGCAGCAACAACAACAACAAAAGCCAACACCACTCACCATCAGTGGGA